CCTCCAGTGCGATTCGAACCCGCGATCCTACGTTTGGAGCTGTTAAGGCCACGTAGTTGTTGTGTTAACAAGTCATATATTGATGAGTGTTTTATTAAAAAAATAAACAAATATAAGCAGTTAAAAATTAAAGTAACATCAAATACATTACAAATAGAATCCTTATTAAGTGATATTAAGTAGATTTTTGAAATACGAAAAATTGACGACGAAAGGTAAGGGATAGAACTGGCTCATTATGTTTAAAAAATAAAAACGAACAATTAAAGCAGATTTAGAGTTAATATAACAAGTACATGGCGATTCATAGCTTAAGGATGTTGTTGCTGAGATCATTTCGAGCAGAAAATGTAATTAACGTTTTCTCAGTTTTGCCATTTTCGAGTTACGACGTTTCTGCGTTGAAATCGCTTTTATTTTCGTGATTGTCGATTTTTACAAAATTTAAAACATAGCGGAAAAGTGGGCCTCCTGATGATGGAGGCAGCAGGGACATCTGAAACGTTTGTAAACTTCTACCAGACTACACGATGCAACGACCCAGAAGAAATCTTCTGTTACTCTCTGGTATTTCCATGTTAAGTGACGTATAGATCAGTTGTTGAGTGATGGTCCTTTCACGGCTTTTTTGTCGAGCTCAGATTTAAAAAAAATCCATGTCCAGAACGGAAGGGCGAATTATTTTAAGCTCATAAGTTATATAGAGTTTTGAGTGCTGTAAGATCCAAAGAAACATCTGAGATGAGAAATGTTTATTGATCTGCTGTTCTCCGAAAATAAAGAGATATAATTATCACGCACGGGGCGTTTATATTTGCTAAAATACTGTTTTAGCTGAAAATTCATTTTTATTGTCGATACACGTTAGCATGTAACTGACAGCGTTATCGATTGTACCCGATCCAATTTAGGCTTCGTGTTTTGGGTTTGAACAGAGGTTTGAAAACGCAAGCATTGATTATATGAAATCTGTAGCTTATATACTGTGATCACTCCGGAAGTCCACATCTTTTGTAATCTGTTCCGATCTGTAAATGACATTTTGAATCCAGTTGTGAATTATAATCAATTTGTAGGTATCGCAGTGGCTTCGGGATTACTAACGCAACGTCACTTGCGGAAGGAAAACACAGTTTTGGTGCTGTGCTGACGCTAATAATTTTAGAAATGCTGGTTTCGATTAAACTCTATATTGTAGACTTACACAAAATTTGGTCAAATCATTTTGATTTTACTTTGGTTTTGTTCGTTGCAAGGTGATTCATCGTCCTTCGTTGCTTGCCTGTATTTATCCATATACGCTTGTTCAATTTGTAGTTTGATAGTTAGTATACTTCGACGTGTATCTTTTGAGTTACATCCTGATAAAAGTAGACTTAGGTAGACTTATTCTATCCGTACTAATGTTGTGTCATAACTCTCAGCATTGCCACATCAGCGCTGAAGTTAGAATGTATGTTTCTCCGAAACGTTTTTATCTACATGGCGTCGCAACCCAGAGGATCGTCATCCTCACTGTCGTGAGAACCTCAAATTCATGATAATTTCATGTTAATCTTCTCAAGCAAAGTTCTGGTCCTTGGAGTCAGCTTCGATCATTGCCAACATGGCTGCCGTCAGAACACTTCACATGGTTACTACGCTGCTGCCATTGAACGGAGAATAATGTTACTTTGTATATTAATGCAATTACACCTCGATTTACTAATTTCCGTTCACTACAAAGAGCCATGTACATTTAAAACAATTTTTCAATTTACGAACATTATTTTTGCCTCAACGAAAAATCAACCTTTCGAATGTCGAACTTCCATTTCGCAAGTAACCATCATCGCGGAAGAATACATGCTGTCAAATGCAAACGTTCATCAACTGAATAGTACTTTACATCGTTAAACAGGTATGAACTATCACAATAGAAGTAATGCTGTTATTGTGGTTATGATTGTGTAATATTTTAACATATGTGGGGAAATTTAATGGATGATTTTTCTGGGAGTCGGTAACCAGTCTAAACTTCTCACATTGAAATTTTAATGATAATTCATTTTGAGCTTACCACCTCACCTTATGAACATTTTTATCGAGCAAATTACGCTCTAAATCGAAATATGGGTGTAACGCTACAATTATATAATTTGTTAAAGTAAGTTCGCCGTCTGATCATCTTTTATCGAAATCATACTCTTTGCACAAGGTCGCTAAGTAGGCCAGCAGGTCTAAACAAAGCGGTTTGTCGAACGTTCTAAATAAGGAGTGTAAAGACAGATCCATTAACACGTGTGTCTGCAGATGTTGGAGCCTCGTAAATAACGTAAGAGCCAGTCATCGCTGGTGTTTGACGAACGCTCTGAAGAGAGAGGGCCGAAGACTGACACGCAGGCCTACAGTTCAAACAGCGTTATAAAGTAACGTAAGAATGAATCGAGCGATCAATCACAACGGTTCGTCGAACACTTCGGAGTATCGAGGCAGTGCCATTGCTGTGCGTCACCCTTCCCCAAGTGCTGCCAACTCACCCACTGTCCTCCACGGTTCTTTTTTTATATATGACCGTATAAGATGGATGTTTTGACAGTGGCAGTTGATAGCTTGGACTACGAGACACTCTCAGCGTGTAAGTTACGATGTGTTCCCTCAACTCCTGCCTACAAGTTTTACACGTGACTATCATTGTCCAGTAGCAGGCTAGCCAATTGAATTCGCAAGTAGATGCTTCCTTCCTCTTATTCCGTGTTCTCCTTGTTCCCTTAACCTGTCATCCACCTCGACGCGTCGAGTGGCTGGCCGCTGTCGTACCCATTATTCATACACTCCAAAAGCGATCTTGTTGTGTAACGTCCTAGTGCTTGAAACCAGTGACAGACTTTTAATAGTAACACTTGTACTAGTAGTTGTTTGTTTTTATGGCCAGTCTTTTGGGCGTTGACAGTTTTCAAACTACTACATTTCTGTTTCCTACACCAGGTCACGGTATAAGATTAAAAATCTTACTCTCTTGTGTGTGCGTCGACAACGTGAATGTCCTTACACGTCCTATTTCCAACATTTCCATGATGACGGACATATTTTCTGTGGATGTCAATTTTTTTTACTGTTTTTCTCATCATTAGGTCTTCTTAAAGGAACACAGCACTCATCCATAACAGTGCTGTGTGTGTAGCATCTTCTACGGGTCGGATTTCGAATTAGAAATCTGTGCCGGGTTTCCAGGCTGTGGTTTTTATGTGATTTTGCTGTCTTTCCAGGGAATGCCACATGCTTGCCTTGTTCAGAGCAAGTTGTCAGTAATTTGTTTCCAGAACTATTTGATCCTTTTTGGTCGTGGACTGAAAGGGCTGTTGAATGTTTAAAGTAGTTGAAAAGTATCAGTGTTACCAAGTATATTTTCGCCTTCCCATTGATATAGTGGGTGTAGGGAGGGGGTATTGACTAGCCAATTGCATATTGCTGTAGTTTATTATTTATTTAGTGTTCTGTGTGCCGACAGGTCCATATGAACAGGATCCTTCCATCCTTTTCTCGGACTGGGACCTGTTCATATACGTTCTTGGCAGATGATCCAGAAGTGGTTTGCCATTGCCTTCTTCTGTGTGTGAATGGAGTAATTGTTGGGATGCCACGGAGAAACCGGGGAAGCCCCCGGAGGAAAACTCCGTGTTGCCTAGACCACGGCCTTGCTCAACACAAGTTATAAATGCGGGCCCCGCCGGGAATCGAACCCGAGACCCCAGGATTACAAGGCCAGCGTTCTAACCGCTACACCATCGTCGTATAAAGTACCTCATCGCCGTGTACTGTGTTTAGGTCTATAGAAAATTCGCTTGAAAAATCATACATACTTACTGTCAGGCCTGTTTTGAACACAATTCCACAACGCAGTTTTGTGTTACAACTTATGCAAGTGTGTGGCTGCTATAGTGATTCTGTGGAAGTGAAAAATATCCAGGCGTAGAAATGTAGGCTGTGCATGAAAGTTACATTACAGGAAACAGTATCATCAGAAGATGCAGAAAGCACATTTGTGTCGCTCTGTTACGTTACGAGGGGAAGTGAAGAAGGCAAAAGGAAAGTTGTGTTGGCAACATTGGCAGATGTGCCTGTGGTCATTTGCACTCGATTATTCGTTTTATACTCAGTCTTTGTTGTCTGATATTGTGACACGTACACGTACACCAGAGTATAACGATCTGTGATCCGATCGTTGCAATCACATGATGTGAAAATAAATAGCGTTTACGGTTGGATAAACAGTTGAGTATGGGGAGTTTAGGAACGGGTAGAAGTATTCGAATGAGAATGTAATATGTGTTGAGGATTCGGAGAAGATCGGCCATTGTATTCGAGACAACTAAAATGTCAGCTTTGATAAAATTACGTACGGAGGAAACGTTGAGAGAATGTCTCAAGGGCAAACCAAAAATATTTTATTCTGATGGAGTCTGGAAATTTGTGGACAATTGGGTCAAATGCTTTTAAAAGCATGGCTGTGAAAAGAAATGTGTTAGGTAATAACCCTTTACACGCTCAGAACATAACAGTGTCTGCTGTCTGTGATAATGCGTAATTCACTTCTTTTGCTTATGGTGTGTCGTGTCCGGACTTGAAACAGCGAACTGCCAACTCTGTACACCTTTTTACATGTCTGAAAGTATTTTTCCTTTGTGTTAATGTGTTCCAGGGGTCTGTCTGTGGTCTGGGCCGTACTGAAGATGGGTGGATGATTGCGAACTGTTACTGGAGAGAGACTCAGTCTGACTATCTGTCTCTCTGTCTGTCTTTCTCGTAGGACTGGACTGGCGATTAAATACGTCCCTTGGAAATAGATTGTCCGTGTAATCACATCAAGGTTTTGCTTTCCTGTAACTTTGTTATTGCACTGCAGTCTCGCTGCCTGCCTGTCTGCTGGAGTCGTCGTATCTAAGAGAATTCCTGTCCCCCTCCCAGTGCAACTAATCGAACCGATAATTAATGTCGCTCTGTTTCTCTGTCCATTTCAGGAACTTGGTGTACAATCTAAGCCTCACGGATCTGTCAGAAAATCAGGTGAGTGTTACATCCACAGTGTGTAGTTTCTATATCGTAAGATTTTATTACAATTTGTAAACATTTTTGTAACTAGTGACGTAAGTAAATGGGATTTCAGTTATTCCCCAAAAAGAGTTTGACTGTTGATCTGTCACATCACAGAGGTTTGCCCATTGTTTGAAGTATATTTGGTGTTCGCCTAAACGTTATGGGAGTTGTCGGTACTCTTGCTTTAATAAGACTGATTGTCAATATTTTTACGTGTTGTTCTTATCTTCAAAATTTATGGTTAGTGTGAGAGTCGAACCCAAAATCCTTTAAATGGTAACAGTGTAATAACCACAGTCCCTGTCAGGGTGGTAAAACGTTCAGGTCTGATTCTGGCCATAAACATTGATCACGAAAATTAAGGAAGTGGCTGGGTTGAAGTTTTATGATAACCAATCATTTAAAGGCTGTATAGAACCAATTTCCGAAACGTCTTGTAAATCAATTACATTAGCCTTTTTCTCCACAGTGGACGGTGTTCAACACGATCGTCTTTTGAATATCTTGAATGTTGAGACAAGTTAAGTAATTATAATGAATAACGTCTACATATTCTAACCGCAACTGACAAGCAAATATTATGGGGATCGTGTTGCACCGTGTATTCTTCTTGTAAGCGAGGTCTCGGGTGGAATAATTCGTAACGCATAATGGCTGTGCTGTTTTGAAAATTCACTGTAGGCGTGCCTTAGAAATATATATTTTTTTATTTTAAAGAGTAATGCTAAGTAACATTCGAACTGACAAAATTTTGTTCCAAAAATTCATTTTACCTATTTCGATTTGACAGCAATTTTATGTAGGAAACATCGCCTTTTCTGTTGTGCAGATTCCAATTAGATAATATAACATGGAACAGGTATAGATTCTGTAATGAGTTTATGAGTTCGTGAGGTGAGTGTGATTTCCAGTTTACTATCACGGGGCATTTCTTGGAAAGTTTATGAATTAGCCTTTTAGTTGGCCAAGAAATTCCCCGTTGTATCAAACCCTAAGTTTCATTACCGTGTTAACAAGAAATCAGCTGTTGGGTCCTCCTTTGAACCAGTTTAATCCAGTCTAACCCTAAACATATTTCCTTTTCCTGATTCGGCATAGCCTTCCATCTATGTCTGTGTCCTCCATGACTTCTCTTCAGATTCTCCAACCATAATTTAATCACTAGGCTATATTAATTTTTGGTTTGGGTACAAATTGTGAAGTTTCCCGTCATGTAATTCTTTCCGTCGCTCTCTCCGATGCAACTATTCTCATTACAACCAATCACGTACACCTAACCTTTCCGCGAGCCGAAGCAACCTGGGAAACTCTCCGCTAGGTGCAGCACTGTTAAGTCCAGTATAATGGGTTCACTGCACCGGGTAAATGGTAGCGAGATAGGTTCGCAGAGTAAAGTTTCCATAGACCGTAATACGACATATTCATAAGTCATGACGCATTATTATAAGGCCAAGGGCCTGACGCTTATTTGGTATGAACATCGTTTCACCGTGGAGGTACTCCCTTATTTTCGTTTCTAATTTATTACGAGTCATAGATAAATTGACTGAAATGTGTGGTAATAGATTTTACAAGAAATACATCCATATTCTTTTAAATCTATTTTTGTTTGTTTCGTTGGATATAAAACAAAACGTCGAAACGTTTATTTAATTTTCGGCTACAGGGCAACGGCAGTGGTCCTGGCGCGATTTGATTATCCCGCAAATCAGCTCTCCCCGCCTCGACACGTCATTGGTTGACAGTCACGTGTTTACCTTTTGATTTACTTCCCAACGTGCCGCTGTGTCACTACTAGACATGCTAGCAAATACTCTGACCCCTGCTAGATTAGAATGCTTCGACATTTGGAGTTCAAATGAGTGCATAGCAGCAGCGCTGTGTCCTTGCTCTCGAACCGGGGGTTCCTACGTCACAGGTAGGCAGGAGCGGAGATTGTTACGCTGGTATAATGAGCCATTGAATTTAGTAATGTGAGATTTTGTATGGATCCAGATCGTACACATACACTTCGTGGAACGTTATTTTATTCCTCGACAATTAACAAATTTCGCTACTAGCGAATGTTTGATGTAATATAATCAGAATGCGAGAATGAACAAAGCGTAATTATGTGTATCAGTGCACAAAAATTGATTACAAATTACATGTTTATTAATTTACATACTGAAATGAATTTGAAGGGAAACAGTTACTGTTTCTTCGTAGAATGTTTTGTTAATTTGCTGTGTAATTCTTATGCGTTGCAGTCCGCTGAGTGTGGAGGGCGAAAACACGAAACAAAGTAGTCTCTTTTCATTAATTTCAATTACCGTTTCTAAAAGAATGTTCCATTCGACTCCTGTCATTTGTAAGAAGCTTCGCTACGCGGAGCTATACCAGAGTTCCAATTCAGACATTAGTGATTCAATAGCGAATTGGTTGAGTGAGGAAATAGCTTTTGCCTGCTACGATTTCCCTTAGTGATAAATGGTTTTCGCTGAATTACAAACGAACGCTGGAAGATGGCGGCGACAGGAAGAAGATGGGGGGAGTGGGGTGGGAGCGGCAGTTCTAAGAAAGCCAGCTACAATTGAGACACGAGTTCAGACTCGTAACAGCAGGACGAGAGAGAGAGAAAAGTGAGTTATCTTTGTGGGGCTGAAGTTGTAATTAATTATCATCAGTGAAACAAAACAAGCCCCGAGGAGAGATGGAAGCAGAATTACAATAACTTGCGGTACTCGTGGTTTGCCATTTATCGCTGTTTTGGACAGACACCATTTAAACTCATTGATTCTTAAGTAAACATTCGCTTGTAACTACAAATGACGATCTGTTAATATGAAGGCTTTAGACGTGGTATCCGTCTCTTTGTGGTGCAGAACATAATTAAATTTATATAACAAATACAGAAGAGAGTAAACACTGAATCTCTTTTGTTTGCTTTGATCAAAATTTCACGTGTATATGTGGCGTATTTAACTACGCTGGCAGTCGCTTAGATTATATGGCGTTGAGGGATTGTATAATTAATAAATAATGAATTGAAAGGGATGTGGAAGGCGTCGTGACTTAATTTCAGGTAGTCTGGCATTTTCTGGGAGAGACTGAGGAAAGCTTTGAGACCTCATTTAAGATAGCTGGTATCCAGGCCACGTATCAACGTTTGTAAAGTCAAGTTGGGGTCTGTCCACTAATCTATGTCTAATCTCCGACATTTCGCAACGGATTTAATTTAAATTTAGAATTTTGGGTATACGCTGAAAGTTTCTTGTTGATTTAATTAACGTTCCTGTTTGCCAAACTTTATAGTGTCACTGTTTAAGAATGTCCTTTGTTTAGTACTTCGGTTAATTTTGCCATTTACCAGCTTGAGAGCGAGTATGCCTGAGGAAAATGGGATAGGAATAGGACTGTCTTGTTGAAGTGGTCAGCAGATGACGGATTGTGGTGATTCTCATCTGCGATTTGAGGTTCTCACTTCAATTTTGGTCTCTTGGTTGGGTCGTAATGGTATGCAGACATTTAGGCAGTTACCAGCGTTTCCGAATAACATATCGCCTTTATCTTCAGGGTTAAAAGTTGAATTTTAATTGTAAAGGATTCCGAAGGATGCGATTGTTGCTTGTTGGAAGGAATTGTCGTGGAATTAATCTGAAGACACCCACGAAAACCACGAGAAACCTGTCAGGATGTCCAGTTGGCAGACCAAGCTTCTAACAGGGTACCTTCAGAATAGAAGTCTTAGAATATTACCTTTGTATCGGCTTGCTCCATTACTGTGACTTCATTCTGCACGAATTGAGTTCAGTTACCTGTAGTTCGATCCAAGCTGACCCAGGAAATGAGATGGTCTTTAGGCTAGGTTTTCATGAGTTTTGGTGGATCACAGTAACAAGCCAGGCATGAGACGAACACGGAACTGAGAATTACGCGTTGCCTTTCTGTGAGTTTAGTTGTGTCTGTGCTAGTTTACGATTATACGGCTCGAAATCTACACATCATCGAAAACTATTATTTAGGATTTTAAGTTTTCGCATTGTCAGGGCGATGAGTAAGCCGCGTTTGGAATCGGTTTGAGGCTCTGCCCTGATATGGACGCAGGAAGGACCTCTGAAACGTTGGTAAACTTTCACCCGACTACACGGCCCTACAGTCTTGAAGCCAGTCATCATAGAACAGTTATTCGAAAATGAATGCTGGTGTTTATCGGTATTCATAGGAATTGCAGAAAGAATTTTGGACGCCTGCTAGTCTATAAATTCCCCCGCCCATACGATGGCGTTAGAAAGAAATGTAAACTAGAAATTATAGCATAATATTTAGTGTTCCATGTATGTTTATATACTACGACGACGTTAAATTTACGCTCATATGATATTAGAGGTCCTCAAAGCAGCGTAAATAATCTATATTGGACTTATGGCTTGTAACACCACGTTGAGTTGTAACTTCATACAACGTTTCGGCTGAAAATACTGCATCCGTTTTCAGGACTATATTTGGTAGATATTAGTATTTCGGACGAACACATTCAGGGCTGAAGTTGGAGGCAGTATGTTTTTCCGAAACGTCGTAATCTCTGTTCATACTGCCTTACAACGTAGAATTCCATCATGGACACACTTTAAATTTGTTAGATGAACCTAAACGTTTATTACTTTCGTCGTATTTGTGGTCCTAATTGTTAACATGCGAGAATATTTTCTGTACAAAATATTTTAAGTGGTTGTGTTCAAGGTCTATCGAAAGAAGAAATTTGCAAGCCTAGCTTTAGATGGTTCCACCGTTATCGTCAATAAATCGGAAGATAATACATCTCACAGCCGCCATCTTGTTTTACATTCTAAAAATGCTCTAAAACTGCGTATTTATTGACTATCTAATGCCATTCAAAATTGTCAGGTCCCTAGATAAAGTGTCACTAGTGTCGCTGTCATCCCAGAATTTCGCACGGTGATATTTAGAGAAGGAAATTAAAAAAGAGT